AAAATCGTATATAAAAAAATGAAAATCATAGATGTAGAAAAAATTTGGTATATCCCATATAACCAAATGGTAAAGGAGAGGACATAAATTTTTTAATAGTCAAGCATTTTTTGAAAGTAAAGAATCAGGCACAAAAACTTAAAAAAAATCATTAAGATGCTAATATCTTAAATAAAAATACCAAAACCAAAAATACAATGAAAAAATTGTTTAATAAACAAAAAAATTAATTCGAAACCTCAAAAAACAGCACTGAATCATTAGTATACAATGCAAATATGAATATCCATTAAAAATATATATAACTAGCCATGAATTCAAAAAAGATTCAACCAAAACCAAACTTATTTAGAATAAATAAATATAAAAATATCTCAAAATATATAAAAGAATATATATAAAATATATATATATATATATACAAGAGAAATATATATTACTAAGTTTATAAAAAATAAAAATTTACTGAATAGACAGATAGATAGCCATCATTGTCAAAAATTTTTCCTTAAATAATAATAAAAGAAAAAAAAAAAAAAAGTTATTGAATAAAAAATGTTTTAAACTTGTATTTAAAATTTAAAAGTTAAAAGGTAGTTAAATAAAAGTATCCTAACTGAAACACCTCTATAATAAATACAAACCTTGAAGGTAGAAAAATGAAAATAACTAAAGCTAGATGATGTAATGTCCTTTGACAACATAAGAAAGAAATATATTTAAAATAAATAAATTAATTAATTAATACATAAAGTTTACTAAAGTTTAAGTTATTAAATTTACTTAAGTAAATTTAAAATTAAGGTTTATAACATTGTAACTTAAATAATATTTAAATATAATAGTTTAAAAATTGTAATTTACATAACTTTGATATGGAAAAATAATTATACTTACTATGAGTAATTATCCTTCTGTTAAAAAGTAATATAGTCAATTAAAACTAACAATGAAAATATTTTAAAATTTTAAAGTGGTAATTTTAAAATTGAGTTAAATAAAATGAATTCTAACCTGTTCTTTTGTACATACATATGAAACTTTATTACTTAGGTTACATATATTTGAAATAAATAAATAAATTATAATAAATAAAGTTTACTAAATGAGAAATATAATTTTGTATAGTTCCATTAATATTACTTAAAAAATATTTAAATATAAAAGTTTAAAATTGTAATTTATATATGATATGAAAAATAATATATATATTTTCTTCTGTTATAAATAATATAGTCTATTATATAACAATGAAAATATTTCAAAAGTTTAAAGTTTGTAATTTTAAAATTGAAACTTAAAATTAAAGTTAAATTGAATGAATTCTAACTTTTAAATTTCATTTTAAATAATACTACACGCACTAAAAAAAATCCCAAAAAACACATATAGTAAAATTTATGTAAGGATAATTATATTACTAGGTTTATATATATAAAAAAAAAAAAAAAAAAAAAAAAATGTAACCTCAATACATACTTAAACTTGAATTAATACATAAAGTTTACTAATTCTGAGAGACTTAGATAGTTTTTGTAGTCTGGGCCATTAATATTACTTAAATAATATCTAAATTAAAAGTTTAAAAATTGTAAATATATACTTTGATATGGAAAAATTTTTTTTAACTATGAGTAATTATCCTTCTGTTATAAAGTAATATAGTCTATTAAAACTAACAGATGAAAATATTTTAAAATTGTAAAGTTGTAATTTTAAAATTGAAATTAAAATTGTAGTAAAATAAAATGAATTCTAACCTGTTATTTATACATACATATGAAACTTTATTAATTAGGTTATATATTTGAAAATAAATAAATTAATTAACTAATAAATAAATAAAGTTTACTAAATCTAAGAAATGACTTAGCTAGTTTTGTAGTAAGTGCCATTAATATTACTTAAATAGCAAATTTAAATTTAAAAGTTATAAAAAAAAAAAAAAAAAAAATTATAATTTACATATACTTTGATATGGAAAAATAATTTTACTTACTATGAGTAATTTTCCTTCTGTTATAAAAAGTAATATAGTCTATTAAAACTAAACAATGAAAATATTTTAAAATTTTTAAAGTTGTAATTTTGAATTTGTAATTAAAATTGTAGTTAAATTGAATGAATTCTAACCTAAATTTCTTTTAAAAATAATACTACACATTAAAAAGAATCCAAAAATAACACCTATAGTAAAATAAAATTAATATGAAAAATACCATAAGATGTTAGCTTTTGAATGATGTCCTCAGTACTTTTGAAATATTATAATACTAGGTTTATATATAAAGAAAAGTTTACTGAATCAGTGAAATTAAGTAAATTTCCGCTGTCATTCATATAAAAAAAAAAAAAAATATGTAACCTCATATACATACTTAAACTTAATGTTAAAATAAATACATAATATAATGGATTCTAATACATTTAACTGTTCTTAAAAAGAATATAGTAAAATAAAAATTAAAAGGAAAATATTTAGTTAAATAAAGTATTAAAAAAAAAATCTTTAAATTTAAAAAAAATTTTTTACCGTTAACAATTTTTTTTTTTTTAAATTCAGACGACAAATGTCAGGAGTGTAAAAATATTACCCTTACCAAATTGTAAATAACTGATACAATGATATCTATAAAAAAACAACCCCTTGTTCAATTTTAGAAATTCTGTAAACCATGGAAAAATATGTAAAAAAGTAATTTCCAAAAAGTTACTCCAAAATTCGCTTAAATAAACTTGCTTTTAATTTAATTCAAAAATAAAATTAGGGACTTTGTCCATTTCTTTAATATATAAATATATATATATATATATATATATATATATATATATGGGGGAAATATAATTATATAAATAAATTCCCAAGAGGATAGAATCCAGGTAGAACTCAATGTCCAGGACTGAATATATGTATAATGTAATTTAGATCAGACCGACAAATTAAAAAAGGAATTTTTTTTGAATATATGAAAGACTGATTTAACAATGTAATAAATTATAATATGAATATACTGAGTTATATATATATATATATATATATATATATATATTTGTTTATTTATGGGATTATATGAAGAAATATGCTTGATATGAATGTAAATGCATAAAAATGATCCTATATGCAACCGTCACCACAGAGATTCCATCAGTGACCATGGCTTGAATAGACCTTTCATATAAGGACAATGTATTTCCATATCCAATGAAACCACCATTTTCCACAGATATCAGTGACCCTTGAAAGGACTGAACAATATTCCCCATATCATTTTCCAAACCCTTGATGATTGTTGTAGTAGTTTTCGTATTTTTTCCTAAATATCCTGGATAAGATTCGGCACTTCGACGTTGTGTACGTTTAACAAGTTTGTCACGATAGATGAACTCCAACTGAGTAATGAGTTCGATCCTCACTGGGTGACACAGATTTTTCTCCTTGTTCTACAACTAAGCTATGCTTAGTAAATCTTTATCTATAGATGAGTTATAACACATTTAGTCTAGGTGATATGTCCCGGAAAGGGATATATTTGAACGAAGTAGCTAAGTAGTTTTGGCTATTATAACCAAGTAGAATCGGGTAGCAGTAATCGACTGGTACGCGGCGTAGTCGCAGGTAAGAAGTGTAGGTCAATGGCGTAGACCAATGGGCGTCGTTATAGACTTAGCTCTCAGACTAAGGCTTTGACTCTCGTACCTACACGTCCGTCGGTATTTATGACGGACACCAGCCAATCATAATCCAGTGAGGGTGAACACAGGTGTACGCATATTCCATTATATCAGTAGGTGATTAGGAAATTGAATATAGAGTGTTAGAGATAGAAGTTGATCCATAAATTTCCAAAGAGTATTTGCCCCTAAATGAATATAAATAAATCGTAATGGAATAGGAATTCGTCTCTCAGATTCCCAACTCTGAATCGCTATCTATTACACCACCGGCACATCCACGGTTACAGCACCTGACCCCGTACTACTACCAATCACAGTGAACGGTGGTCCTTTCAGGGAAGCACTGTGTCTTAAAGCCTCACACCCGAGCTTAAGTGGATCTCGTACATACAATCCATTGCCAACGATATAGGTAAATTGGTCGGCTTCTGTACCATTCTAGTAAGTACCTGACTCCTCCTCTACCTATACAAGAACCAGATCTGTCCAAAAATGAAGTACCTTTGTCATATTCGGTTGGGAGATTTCTAGATCTCCCTCTCCAGCCTTGATAGAGTCCAAAAGCGTCTCAGAGCCGTTGTGGATGACTAATTATTCTTCACCTCTTTAACCTCTCTCCCATAAGTGGGATGTGGCGATCCTGTTGCTGCTCTGTTGCTACTTCCACAGAAAGTGCTCAGATGAACCACATTCCCTGGTCCCTCCAGTTCAAACCTTCACGTTAAGAACACGCCATGCCACTTGCATAGTAGAAAACCACCAACATTCCCTCCATATTCCATCGGTGAGAAGTACGTTCCACCCTAACAGCTTGTTCTCACGAAGCACTGCCCTGTATCTAGCCACCCCCACGAAGGTTGTATGTGGCACAAGGCCGAGTTTTTACGTGGGTTTTATTTGAGCCCGTAGGCTAATAAAAAAAAAATGCCCGTATAACCCGTATAAACGAAAACGGGTTGTAATATTCCTCCCGAACGAGATTCTGCCCTTCGGCGGAAACTCGTCCGGGTTCCTTTCTGCTCAAAAGCAGAGAGTTCGACCGTCAAGTCGAGAACCGATTCCCAACAGGATGCTTCCCCGATCACTTCAATGTTAACCTGTTCAAGGCTAGGGTTAAGCGTTATCTTCCACTCCTATACGCCTCCTAACGTAACCTATACCTCGAGTGGCCTCGTAAAGGGTGAACCTTACTGAAAAAAATTAATAAATTCCCAAACGGCAATCTATTTAGTTACTCAATGTTGCATAACGTCGGTGATCGCACAAGAACTGCTGTTTCAGCATGATATGGGCGTAAGTCCATTACACAAGCAGCATATCAAAGCTTACAGTATTTGGTATTCCCAAGCGGTTGCCCATCTAGTTACTGACCAGGCTCAATGTTGCTTAACTTCGTTGATCGTACGAGAACCGATTTTTCAATATGATATGGGCGTAAGTCCATTACATAACCAGCATATCCAAGCTAACAGTATTTGGTATTCCCAAACGGTTACCCCTCTAGGTACTGACCATTGTCAACGTTGCTTAACTTCGGTGATCGTACGAGAATCGGTTTTTCAACATGATATAAGCGTAAGTCCATTACACAACCAGCATATACAAGCTAACAGTATTTGGTATTCCCAAAGTGTTACCATCTAGGTACGGACCAGGCTCGATCTTGCTTAACTTCGGTGATCGTACGAGATCCGCTATTTCGACCGTTAGAACTGAGAACAGATATTACATTAAAGCACAACTAGAATAACATTGGCTGTTCGATCGATGAATACCGAATGTTCCCTTATAAGAAAACGGTTATCCTCATTCATTTCCTGTTCCTATGGAAAGGTTTAATTTTCCCTTAGTCAGTTTCTTCCTCATCACTGGTACTTTGTTGAACAGACTCTCAAGTTCCATGGCTACTAAAATCTTAACCTATTTAAGTCCAGAGTCAACTGATACATATCCTTTATATCCTCATAAAATGCACTTCTTATTGATTCCGAGGAGCTACGGAGGAGTACTGGATAGCGTCTCGGATTGAGGAATCCGAGAGTCGAGTCCCAATTCTAGTCGAATCCATTACAATCACTTACGTGCTAATACCCTTGGGAAAGGTATGAATCATCATCTTCTTCCCCCAGCTATGGTTAAATAGCAGGACAGACTGGGTTCTGTAGCCTTGGATGGCGGCAACTGGTCTACCACAGAAAGAAATGGCAACCTACTGCGGGGAAAAAATCTGCCTCGTCAGTCATGTATCGAAAGATACATGATCGCTTAAGCGTGTATCACGCATGGCACATAACTGACTGCTTCTTTGCCTTCCATTACAACATTATAATTCAATAACCCACTACCTTGAGAGGCTCCTGGGCTGTGTATTGTCTAAAGTAAAGTAAAAACTAACTTTGCGTTCCAAACGCGAATTTTTGAGAGGAAATATTCAGTAAATTTTAAAGTAATTATCTCGTCTTTTTTATCACGTTTCTGTTTCGTATTCTCAATGGGTTCAACACGTTCATGGCGAGTAATCGGGTCACTCTATCTTGAATGGCCTCAGGGTTTTATTTTGCTTAAACTAAAATTTAAAACAAAATTAGCGATACAAATGTGAACGTTTGAGAGGAAATATTCAGTAAGTTTTTAAAGTAAATTTCTCGTTTTTATGTCACGTTTCTGTTTCGTATCCTCAACAGCTTCAACGCGTTCATTGGGCGTACCCGGGTGACGGTTCACGGAATGTCATAGTTTCAGCTCATAAGTCAGAAAAAAAAAGACCACATAAGCAAGAAGCCAGAGGCGGCATCGACACTAGATGTGACGTGTAATGATAGTTGAAGCGCATTCCATCCGCACCTCAAAGCAATATTCTACAATCCTGAACAATAAGAAACGCCGGAGGTAAACAACTGAACCGAGGTGATAACACAAAACAAAAATTCGAATCATTTAGACTATTAAATTGGGCGCAGGATAGTGTATCTTTTATCGACGCTGAAAGTGGAACCGGGGAGCAGGGTTCAAATTCTGTCACGTTGATTTCAGAGTACGCCCTTGGAAACGATGAGAATCTTTAGCATTTTACCACTTTTCTATCAATGTCAATTTTTGTGCAATTCTGTGCAAAATGTGGATCACAGAGCCTTGATACTTTTCTTACTTCTCACTGGTCAGTTAATATTTAAATCATGTTTTAAACTGCGTCCGATTAACGTCGATCTAGTTCCTGACCTGACGAAAAAAATAATTCCGCCAAAATCTGTCTATACCTTTCGGAGCCGATCACGTGATTACACGTATTATAAATACCAGACGCAAGTTGGTTCTTTCTCTCTTTTTGATTTTTCTCGCTTACGAAAATGTAGCTGTTTAAGAAATCGCGTTTCGACCCTTTACGGGCGGACGCTATGAAACCATCACACACATACACGTACGTACGAAACTTAATTACAAACATTACGAACATTACACGCATCAACATATTAGGAATATTCAACTACAAGCAACGGAAACTAATTAAACATTACGGAACATTCACGTCCTTCAAATCTTCTGAAGCTAAAAGTTTATCAACATATTTTCAGCTTTACAGAATACTTTCAACTCTCTCACAGGGAACATTTTGAGCATCAAGTTCATTTAACTTTTTATGAGCTCAGATAAAAATATTTCCTTATTAAAGAGTTTCAATTCCAGTCAAAGGGAAGTAACCTCTATGCTTGTTTATCATTACATACATAACCCCACACACACAAAAAAAACACAACATGCACACAGGATGACCAAATACAGTGATCAGGTCACTCACATACATGGACGCACACTCATATACGGGAGACACGAGGAGATATATATATGTATGTATACATACATTTATGGATGTATATGCGGATGTTGACAACTTAAGAAGTACATGTGTGTGTGCGTGTGTGTGTGTGTACTGGTTCCATGTAGCTTGGGAAATATGTGTGTATATATGTGTGTGTGTGTGTGTGTACTGATTACTTGTGGTGGGATAGTGTGTATGTGCGTATGGGTGTGTATGCGTGTATATGTACAAATGAGTTTACTAATTCCTCGTAGTAAGACAGTATATGTATGGAGGGGAAATATACGCACGCATATATACACGCACCAAAATGGAAACAGATCCAAGAGCACTTAGGGGTCAGTAAAACATTAAAAGATAAAATGCCGATAACTAATTTATCATCTCGCTGGACCAACCTTAATTGTTTTATGACCCTTCGCGCAGAACTCTTCATTGCCATTTCAAGAAAGAAATTCAGATTACCAACACACAAACAGAGAATGTCTCATATCGAGAATATTTAACATTGAACATGAGGAAAAATTAATTATTATTTTTAATAATATGTGGAAATCTCCACTTTTACCTGAAGACGGTCGTGAGACCAGAAACACGTGTCGTAAAATTATGTAAAACAAAGCATAATATTTTTTCTAAATAAATCCACATTACAACCAAAAACGTTTGCGGCACCTCTCTTCTCTTCTTTTTAATATACATACTTTTCTCTCGTTGAACCACTACATTATATTTTTTTTATATATATATATATATATATATATATATATATATATATATATATATTTGTAAAAGAAAAAAATATACGCGTTGATTTAGGCCGTCAATACCGCAACAAATCCATCTCGTTGCCCTTTACTAGATAGGGTTAAACAGTAGGATAGACTGGCAGTCGGTTCACAGAAGGATACTCTGAAATCGGCAACAGGGAACTCAGTTGAGGCCTTTCCCAGTCATGGCAATACACAAAATAACGAAGAAAAAAGAATCTGTGGAGAGAATGTGACGGTAGTGTAACGGTTATCGGCGCAAAAATGGAATCGGTGTGCCGAGTCCGATTTCCTTGCGTTCACTTTCGCACAAATACCCTTGGCAAAGGTTTAAATTGGTCTGCTCTCCTTACTAGTTACGTGTTAATAAACCGGGTAGACTGGAATTATTAGCCTTGGTTGGCAACCAATATAGGGGAATGAAACCTCGGAAATAAAGACTATCAACTCCACCTTATAAAAACCTACTGCCTGCAGGTCTACAGTAGCAATACCTATACTCTCCAGGGGTACAAATGGCACTAAGGAGTAGGTAGAAAAGGGGAAGAGGCATGATCTCTTACGTTATGAAAAGCCAGGTCATTGAAAATAGACGTCTAATTCATAGTGATAAATACTAGGTTAACTTTTCTTTGTTCCAGACTAAAACTGGTGTTAGTTTAATGGGAGTTTGCTAAGGAAGAAAGATTTATTGTCACATTTGAATTTCCCCCGTTACGGCCATTATTATATACGTGATATTATAACACCATACTTCACGGAATAGCTGAATGGAAAAAGAATAACAAATATGCATTGGTCTCTGAGAAAGTTTTATGTTATGTCGTATATAAAGTTATATATATATATATATATATATATATATATATATATATATATATATATATGTGTGTATATATATATGTGTGTGTCCCACGCAGATAAATTATAACATAGAAAACGATGAACCTTACTTGTAAGATTTCCTGACGGTTTCTCTATGAATCTGCTTAGGCCTTTTTTTTTTCATTTAGGTCCTACAGCTGTGGGCTGGGGGTGTTCTTCTTCTCCGGGTTCTAAATCGCAACTCTCCTTCATCACGCTATTCCCTGACGTCACACGCCGGCCGTCATGTGACCATCAAGATTATGAGCAACGAAAGGAAGACAATCGCAGTTTGTATCCCTACATTAATATGCAAGTCAAAATCTACAAGAAAGAAATTAGCATTTATAAAATTATCAGTTTCTTTCACTGTAATGTAAACTTCCTTAGTATGTCTTACAGTTATTTCAGCCTCGGAAAGAGCTACAGTGGTAAGGTGCTGGATGTGCTAATGAAAAAAGAAAGTAAACACAATCTACATCCACGGCAAATTGTGCCATTGACGCGATTTAAGCATTTAAGACAGTGTGCGTTTTCAAAGGCCGACCATATGCGCCTCATTTTGCTGACGGATCGGTGCTTTTTTTTATAGAACCAAAACTTCTAGACTGGCTTCCAGCAAAGATTAGAGAGCCTACGCGAAGCTATATCACTAAAGAGAAGATATGGATTCTCAACTTCCCAAAGTTATATTTTAGATGGTTAATGTCAAAAACCCGACCGGAATTTGAATTCGACTCCTCGATTACTGTTTCGATGCCGGTAACCGTTAACTTACCCGGACATCACGTGCGAAGTTCTGCACGACTAGAATAACTATCGCCCCACGTTAAACGTCTCAGAAATCCCCAAATCAGACAAAAGCTTAAAATATTGAAGCACGCCATGTATATGAAACTCAACGCAATAGAAAATCGACAAGCCCGGCACTTTGAGAGGCGGCCATCTTGTGAATTCCCATATACTTTCACTGTACGTAGGTAATGA